TGGCCTAGAGACGATGCACGGGAACTCCTACTCGTTAGGGTGCAGAACCAACTGAACACATTAATTAAACAATGATCCAATATACTCCAATCTTACAAGCAAATCGGTCTAGAAACTGATTGGTCCCACAACCATCTCATCAATGAGAAATCTGTTTCCTGAATCAAGCTAAGAGTAATCCTTATGTGATAATGACGAGGAACTTAGACTGATTAGCATGCAGCTATCAAAAGAACCAAAGAAGATCATAGACTGATTTGCGTGCAACTTAAAAGAGTCGAAGAACATTGACTGATTTGCGTGCAATTATTTTTGACTGATTTGCACGCAATGATTAAACAAACTTTATTATTACATCATTAGATATTGTAGTGATATCAGCCTACACCCACAAAGCAAGATTCAACATGGTTGAATTACTCCAAATTTATTATCTACCCTATTTTATAACCTTATCTACGTTTTTTATAACCTTATGTTTTCATGAAAAGTTACTCCAAACATATCATCAATATATTTGTGGCAAGAAACATATTTACCAAGAATGAAATTCAAAAACCAATACAAGTACTTTTTCATAGTTCTAATTTTTTAAAAGATGAATGTTCTCAAGGAAAAAAAAGAAAGAAAAGGGTCAGTGTAGATATAAACAAAAGGACGGACTCAGCATACTACAGCCTTTTTTTAAATAACCATGGTGGCTGGGCCAGTTTGCACACACCTCGACTAATTCCACGAGATACTTGCTACTTCCCACCAGCAACAAGTACCAGGTAACTTTGCCCACCAAGGCTTGGACAAATAGGAAGAAATCACCTAGTTTTTATGCCTCTACTGGGATTTGAACCTGAGATCTCATGATTCTTAACCCACTTCATTGACCACTTGGCTACACCCTTAGGTGCACCCAACATACTACAGCTTTTTGTGCTATATTTTTCTCATTGGACATGTTTTTACGGACATAGCACATGTGATACATGTGATGCTGACAACCAAGAGCTCCCTTCTATAATCTGCTCTACCAAAATATGTTAATACACGTGTATATCACTCTCATCTCGAGAAATAAGAGATCCTCTAGAGAAAAGCAATTGAAGCCAACAAGCCTATTTGTGCAAGTGTGCAACTTAGCATAATTAGGTCAAGAGCCGCTATCAAACTAGTCTTTCTTGCTTTCATCCTCATCAGACAACTCGGACCACATTTAGATTAGTGCATGTCACCTTTGCACAAAGGTCATGCTAATCCTCTTGATTGAACAGCTTATAAATCTTGGTCCCACCGCCACCAGTTTTCTGCTAATATTTCCACATCATCCATTTTTTGGTTCTAGTTCCATTAACTTATCATAAGTTTAGTAGAACAAAGAGGCAGGAGGACAAGCAAGAGATACGGGATAAGGGAGTAAAACTGGAGGGATATTCTGTCTTCCCATGTCAGCATTTTCAACCACAGGGAAGCTAGAAAAGAGAAAAGAATATGTGTCTGCTCCAGTCCAGTAATACCAAACACAAGGGGGTGCATAAGCTATCTTCCATAGGAAAGCAAATCAACAAAGAATTAATTTTTTAACCTGTACCAGAAGTTTAATATAGTGAAGCTGGATAAAAAGAAATGTGTGTTTTCCTTTAACTTCTTGTCCATTCATACCCAACAACAGAAGCAGGTGGATAAACCATCTTTCATAGGAAAAGTATATCAATGAATAACCCTCCCCTTTAATCTTTACAAGCCCCTCCCAAGAAGCAAATATATGTTAAACATAACTTAATCCGACATATGCAAGGAGAAAAGAAGAGAGAATCTCAAACTTTCCTGCCAAAATGGCAGGAAAGTAGAAAAGGAAAATTCCAAAAACCCTATAAAGAAAGAAGGAGAGAAAAATTTAATCACCATACCTTGTCTTCTTCCATCCGACCACTTGACAAAGAATCTGTAATATATGCTCTGTAGAGAAGTTTTAGGTCATCCATCTTTCTATCACCATCATACTCCCCTCCTGAAGGAACAGGAAGGAAAAGAATAAGGAAAAAGGAAAGTTAACTCCAGGTAACAAACTGACACACAAACAACAAACAGCTGAAAGAAAAAAGCCCCGTGAAAGGATTTCACTTAGACTTGAGAGAGACCAGTGACTTTTAAAACAAGTTCTATAAGAGTCAGCCAAAGATCACCAACAAACATACCTACTAAGGAAACTGGCCCAATGCCCGGAGCAAAGCGACTAGCATCAGGATGGTTCTTCAGTGAAATTAGCAAATTATTAAATGACAAGATCTTATCAAGCTCCTCGATCACACGTGTGGCTTCCCTGCTTAACGGCCCAATTAATTCATTAAACAAATGATACAAGCAAAGAATATGGAAGATTATGTCGTGCTAGAAATTGCACGAGTTATCCCATTTCTATTACACAGAATTGCCTAGTAAAAGATTTATCCGGTGAATTCAAGTCGCGGATATGGCCCAAAGTTCCCTTTTTAAGAGGTTAAACACACTTAAGACCTTACGTTGCTCTTGCTCTTGATTTCAAACTGCCAACAGCAAGTGATATGCATTCCTCAACAAGCTTTCTTGCATGCTCTTTAAACATCTCTTCTGCAAGCTGCAAACACATAAATAGTCATGGGCATATTAATGATGACCGAATACATGGATATAGTAAAATCGATCATGAATATCATGCAACAAATTCAAAACAGTCTTATTCTTTTTTTCAAGGAGCAAAGTATGTTTTACAATGATGTATTTAAGTAGAAATGTGATTATTTTTTAGGCACTACCTCATCCGACAGCCGATATGCAAGCTGTGCCTCTCTCAAACTGACCAGCTGGTTCACATCAATATCTGGAGAAACAAGTAAAGTAGTTAAATAAACCATGCAAAGCTTCTGAAGTAAAGTGGAGTAATTAAATCATGAAAAAACAACTGAAAGAACTTCATCCCAACGCCACCATAACTTAGAATTGCAAGGTCCGTTAGCTACTAGGAATTGAATTTGTGTAATTAATGAAAGAATTAGCATTTACAATATAAGGCTGGTAAAATCCATACAAAGACCGATACTGCCCTAGAGAATAAAGATACATCCAGATTCAAGAGCTACTGCCAGAACGCCCTCAAAACCCATAAACCAATATGATATATCACTAGACATAGAGAAATTTGAAGTGAGAAAAAGACTTCCAGAGAAAAGAATCTCTACTTGGTGCACGAGTGGAACCTACCAAACCCATGCAGCACAAGGAGCCTCATGTAACAATTCATCTTATTCAGGATTAAGCGCCATATACCACAAAAGAGACAAACTTAAGCACATAAGCCGATTTGCTAAAATTACCACAATAGAGAGAAGTTTAAGAATAGAAATAGAAAATCCCAAGCAAAAAAGCAAGTAGTTTGAAAGTTTTTGGAAAGGCATTACTTTAGAGAAAAGCAAAAAGTGCCTTCTAAGGCATCAGTAGACCAAATTTACCTCGGCCAACAGACTTAAGCTTGGAGGCATATAATCGTTGTGCATTGTCCCTGACAGCAACCTCAACCTAATGAACAAAAATGTTAAAACAGGTGAAATGAAGTAGAGAGACAGACAACTTTTTTTTTTTTTTTTGAGAAATGGTAAGGTAGTAGGGAGCCAGATAATAGGAGTCCAATACATAAATGAAGGGGGTACAGAATAGGAGGAATGAAAGCAACTTCAATCAGAAGATAGAAATGTTAAAGCCACAAGCGGGGCATGGCACTGCACAATCGAACAATTCCAGAAAGAAGGGGGAGAGAGAAGGGGCCAACGGAGATGCATTTAATTATCCACTACCTGGGAATCAGTAACCTTGAAAACACGTTTCCAAGGTAAAAGGAATGCAGATGCTTCTCCAAATACTAGAGTTGAGACGTATATCAACTTCTGAAATGCCTGCACTGGAGAAGTTAGAAATGGTCAAGTTCCATTTATTGTTCTTTGATAACTAAAGGCGGTACAGTAGCCATAAAGTGGAAATTAAAGCTATTGAAGAGATGACCCACCCGACGCTGTTCTATATCTCCATCACGATCTCCCGTTTCAAGTCGTTGCCTGAATATTCGCCTACCAATCTGAGAAACCAACATGTATAAGTTTCTTAACACTTGACGAATTATTTATTAAAGCAAACGTAGCTCATCAACATAACATTCTAACTTTGCAAGCCCACCACAGCTAGAAGTATTGCAATGCTGAGGTGCAGAATCAAATAAATACTTCAAGTTACCTCCATATGCATATCTGCTGCATCTGGATCATCAATTCCCAATGCATTTTTAAATTTGATTATGGTATCAACTTCATCGCCTCTAAGTTCTTCAGTCCCAGTAGGAAAGACAGCAGATACATATCTGAACACAAATCAAATTTGATGCATAAGAAAGGGCAGATAAGCTAAAAACGTTTAAACTGATAAGTTCTACAGGCCATGTAACTGGTAAATAAAAAGGACATTTAAAATTCAAAATAATCATTTGAAATGAATAAGCAAAAATCTCTGCCTGATTCCTTTTACATGTCTGAAACAAGTATCACGCCATGTTAGTTATAGCATTCAAATGTAATTGGGTCAATATGCCAAGACAAGGATAGCAATTTTGATACTTTCTGGGTCATAAGGAACTGAAATAGTATAGAAAAGCATGTGCAAGAAATTGTAACTGCAGAAAGGTGACAAATATTTTCTTTTTCTTTTAATCTGCAAAAGTTGACACAACCTTAAAACATTTCGGGGATCTTAATCAAGGAAAAAACATCTCAGAAAGTAAGCAAGATCAATATGTTTGGACGTAGCAAGCAACCAATTAACTACAAAACCCATACTTTGCCCTACAAAGTGCTTAATAGGGTCAAACTCTGCTACTTTTATTCCCAAGCAAGCAACTCATATAATGAAAATTTTGTCATACGACAATTGGGGAAAAAAAGAAATAAAGAGCACAAAAGAAACCGAAAACGAAAAAGGAGAGATGTGATAATACATTGAAGAGGTTTTGTCTCAGTTTTATGTAAAAAGAAATACATGCAACTTTCACTAACTCAATTTTTTTTTTTTTAGAAATACATGCAGCTTTCATGTCAGCCAGGATGTTCATAACAAGTTAGTACTTCAGTGCAGACAATTTATCACTCACCGGCAATATATATCACGTAGCTCCGCATTGAATGCCTCATTCTGTTTGCTGACACCGTACCTAAACAATAAAAAGAAGTAAAGGGGTAAAGAAATGAGGTGACAAACATCGATAAACGAAACTAGAAAAGTTAGAGAACTCTGATAAAACTTGTGTGTGAAAGCTCAAAAAGTAGCCAACATGGAATTTGATAAATAAGTACTAGAAGAAAAAGCTTATATATATGTGTGTGTGTGGTAGTAGCATGTTTGGGACACAAAATACTGAAATAATCTGTAATCCAGCCACAGCACCGGTCAATTGTCTGAAATAACTAATTGTTACTAAAAGGTCATTAAGCCAGAAATAAAATGATAATTAGGCTACTTAACTGATCACAAAGATAATCAATCAAATCAAAGCAAATGGTCCAAGCATCCGCATTAGAGTTTTTTTCCCCCTGAGAATTGCACTATCCAAGCAACCCGCTACGGGAAAAAATTACGCACACCCGGTGTTTGCACCAACTCATGTTAATTTAACTTTAAGTGGGGGCATTGGTCACAAATCCAAGAAATAGCACATATTAATTGATTTAGTTGGTGCAAGCATTAGTGCAGGTAAATATACTCGCAAATAAATAAATAAATGTATGAATAAATCAAATGGGTATAGTGGACAAACTTATTAGCAATTGCATCAATATCTTCCTTGTTCAAGGCAGCAGGGTCCTCAAAATCAGCCACATAGTTATGCAAATTAATAGCCGCGACTTCAGGAACACAGGAATTCAATGCATAAGCGGCGCCGGCACCAGCAGCACCAAGAGCAATAGCACCACCCACCCCAGCATTGCGGGACCCACCAAAACGAACACCAAGCCCGTACCCAGCAGCCACAGCGCCAGCAAATACTAAAGCCGAGCTGGCTATTCTTATGGGCGGTGACATGGCATCCACGAGGGATTGAATAGTAGAAAGTTCTTTCTTACCTCCAAAGACATCTGGCTTGACCGAAATAGACGACGAAGGGGGTTTGTCAGGGACAGAAGAAGCAGATGAACGGACAGTAGATAAACCGTAATTGTAGCGATAATGGCGGCGTTTCTGGGAGATTTTACGGGTAAAACGGAGAGGAGTAGGGTTGAGAAAAGGAGATAAGAAAGTAGTTGTGGTGGGGTTTACAGAAGGTTGGTTGGTAGTGAGGAGAAGTGAGGGGTTCATATTCCGATCTCGTCTTCTCTCTTTCTTTGTTGGAGAATTTGAGAGAGAAGAGAGGACAAGTGAGAATAACAGATAGAACTAAGAGGAGAAGATAGCAGAATTCATACTTCCATATATTTGAAACCGCACGTGCTATGCACGGGCCTAACATAATATTATGGCAAATAAAATAACAGAGAATCAACATATTATTGCCATTGTTGAGCACATCAGAGAGTTAAATTGTTCCAACTCATTAGTCATTACTTATTCTGGTTTGTTAATATTCTTCGTATTAATTTTGTTCCATTGTATGACTACCTGATTTATGACATGAAATCCAATCAAAATCGAACATTCTAATTTCTAACATGTCTTTTAAATAACGTAAAATATGGAATGAAAGATCGCGTCTAGATTGACAAAAGATTCACTTACGGCTACATATCTTACGTTGTAATTTATCATCACAACAAAAAATAATATGCACTTGATTAATGCGTAAAATCAATAAAGCTACCATCCTAGATGACATTGACATTCCTAATACTACCCATATATATAAGTTTAGAACTACTCCATATTACTCCTCTTTTGACCCTTTAGTTAAAGATGTCGAAAAACCAAGAGAGGTTGTAATCTATCTCCTACCAAAAGCGCTTTCATGAAGTAGTTTGAGTCCACAGTCACAGACACAATTTAGGATCATGACCGGCACTTCGGAGCAAGTGCCCCCAAGTAAGCCTCATCGGTATTTTAAAGAAAATCGGACAGAGTTTCCCATGTTTTTGGACTATCCAAAACTTTCCTGTCTCAAAATCAACAACCAACCATCCTAATATCAAACCAAACAATCGACAACTTATCAATTAACCAAAAAAAGTCTCCAACATTGCTAATCAACCCACTAACAGCTAGAAATATTAATTTATCTCCAACTTTGATAATAAGGGACAATACTCAACATAAGACTATAATAACAAAATAATACTCATGACACTAAAATGATGATTATGGAGCGACTCTAAGAGTTCAAAGAAAAGACCATAACAATCAATAAAATTTTCACCCACGCGAACAAGTGCGAGGCTCACCAAGAACTATCAACCTGTGCGCTCTAATTAACGAAATCCTCGCCCGCGTCAACTGTTGTCTCTGTAAAAAAAATTAGTGGGGGAATGAGTCGCTAGCTCAGTGAGTAATAGCACTTTGCCACAACGATTTTTATTGGGGACAAGTCAAAAACATGCTAGTATATTAAACAGAAAATATCATAAAATGCCCTTTCAGAAACAATAAATATTTTTCAGTCTTATCACATTTTTCTTGTAGTATAATATGATTAACAATTCAGTAATAAGGTCGGTAATCACTGTATAATATCAATATACTCATTTGGGAAGTTTTAATGAACGAATCATGTTATCGGTATATCTGTGGACTTCTTCGCAAGAAGTCAAATATAACGATAGTCCCTACTCGAGGGAAATTGGTAACGGTATGCTAGTTCTACCTTCCCACTAGCGAGGGCTATAATTGTTCTCTATAATCGGTAAATACAAGATGCACTAGGTCTAACGAACCCGTTGTTAACTACGGGATCCTTCAAAGTCTACTCCTATTTATACTTGTCTTTGTATGCATATATACTCATAGGAAAATTTTTTAAAATAATATAGGGCATTTCGGTTCTTATCAAATCATGTAATTTCATTTCGATAATAGTAAATTCAAGTAACGGTAAAACATATCTAGTGACAACAAGAATATTTAAAACAATAGTGATCATGTCAAATAACTATTTTCGTATCATATTGAGTAAAAGACTTGTCCCACATGCAACTCAAATTAATCGGTAACATATTCATATTAAAAATCATGTGTAAATCATGTAGGTTATGAAAATATAAATTTCGGTAAGATTACTACTCATAGTACTTGTGCCGAAATACCAAATGCTTCACCTCGAGCGATTCGTAAAAATTCTTCCAATCAATCGGAAGTAAGATTTCAAGTGTTGGCTTCAAAATAATGAAATGCTTTTACAACCTAAAACCCTTCTCCAAAAATTATTTGCTGCGAGAGGAAGACTATGCGGTATATCGATACCAAGCTGCTATTTATACATGTAAAAAAAACCTAGGCATTCGATTTCTATTCAAATTGGGTCTCTTAGGTTTCCATAGCAGACATGAAAGTCATATTCGGAGCTGCCATAATTACCATCCTAATTCTAATTTAGGTAAAACTCTGAAGTCGACTTACTTCTCCTATCCACTTTCCTTCTGTTCTTGTGCTCTTTTATTTTCCTTTTTCTGTTTTGTTTCATTTTGTGTCATTTCATTTTTTTGTTTTTTTTCGTAGTTAGTTTCTTATAATTATTATTAATATAATTATTATTATTATCATTATTATGCTAATGACCAATACACCCTTATTTAAAAAAATATAGGGTATTATATCCTCCCCACTTTATGAAATTCGGTCCCCGAATTTAACTCAAGTACGTACCTGTAGACTGTTACGTACCTGTAGACTAAAACAAATGGGGGTACTTGACTCGCATAGTATTCTCTATTTCCCAAGTAGCTTCTTCAAATGTATTATTTCGCCATAAGACTTTTACGAACTCAATTTCTTTTGACCGTAGCTTTCTTACTTGCCTATCAACAATAGCCATCGGTTCCTCCTCGTAAGACAACTTCTCATTAAGCGGTATAATAGGTGCTTCAAGCACCCGAGATGAGTCTGATATACATTTCCTTAGCATTGAGATATGAAACATTGGATGAATAAAGAACAACTCAGGAGGAAGTGCCAAACGATAAGCCACAGCTCCCACTCGGTCTAGTACCTCATACAGTCCTATAAACCTGGGGCTCAACTTGCCTCTTTTCCCAAATTGCATCACACTTTTCATAAGAGAGACTCGTAGGAACACTTTGTCCCCAATTGTGAATACTAAATCTCTTCTTCTCTTATCAGCATAAAACTTTTGTCTACTTTGAGCTGCAAGCAATCTCTGTCTGATCAGCTAGACCTTGTCCATAGCTTCTTGTACTAAGTCAGGTCCTAATAAGTTAGACTCACCAGCTTCAAACCATCCGATAGGAGAACGACATATTCTACCATACAATGATTCGTACGGTGCCATTTGAATACTAGACTGGAAGCTATTGTTGTAAGCAAATTCAGCTACAGGTAGATAAGTATCTCAACTACCTCCAAACTCAAGAATGCAAGCCCTCAACATATCCTCCAAGATCTGTATAGTACGCTCAAACTGTCCATCTATCTGTGGATGAAATGCAGTGCTAAAATCTACTCGTGTACCCAATGCTTCTTGAAAAGATTTCCAAAAGTGTGAGGTAAATTGTGATCTTCTATCAGAGATAATGGATATTGGAACTCCGTGAAGTCGGACAATTTCATTTATAAATATCTGTGCATACCTCACTCCATTATATGTAGTCTTCACTGGTAAAAAGTGTGTTGATTTCGTCAGTCGATCTACAATCACCCATACAGAGTCATAACCTCTAAGGGTTCGTGGTAGCCCGATGACAAAATTCATAGTAATTCTTTTCCGTTTCTACTCCGGAATCTCAATTTGTTGTAACATTCCTGCGGGTCGCTGATGCTCAGTCTTGACCTGCTGACAAGTCAAACAACTAGAAACAAAGTTAGCAACATCTTTCTTCATACCTTCTCACCAATAAAATTGCTTCAGGTCATTGTACATTTTTGTGGATCCAGGATGTATAGTGTATTTGGAGTTGTGGGCTTCTTCAAGAATAGCATGTTTCGACTCATCTACGTCTGCTACACATAGCCTGTCACCCATTCGAAGCACACCATCACTTTTAACAATCATATCCTTGCTTTTACCAGCTAAGGCCTCATTTCTGTATTTGCATAATCTCTTATACTCATATTGGGTGGCCTTAATGCGCTCAACTAATGAATACTTAGCTTGAGCACAAGCCAACAATGCCTCTGAATTTCTGACACTAAATTTGATACCTGTATCTTCTAGTCTCTGAATATCTTTGGCCAAAAGTCTCTTTGCAGGAGCTATATGTGCCAAACTCCCCATAGATTTTCTACTCAATGCATTAGCCACCACATTGGCTTTTCCAGGATGATACAAAATAGAACAATCATAGTCTTTGAGTAGTTCCATCCAACGACGTTGCCGAATATTTAGATCTCTCTACTGAAAGATATACTTTAGACTTTTATGGTCAGTATAAATCTCACAAGTTTCGCCGTGTAGATAATATCTCCAAATTTTTAGAGCAAATACCACTGCAGCCATCTCCAAATCATGTGTAGGATAGTTTTGCTCATGCTTTTTCAATTGTCTCGAAGCATAAGCAATAACGCAACCATTTTGCATGAGAACACATCCTAATCCCCCCCTCGATGTGTCACAGAACACCGTAAATCCTCTAGAACCTGATGGTAAGGCTAATGTTGGTGCAGTTGTCTGACACGTTTTGAGTTTCTGAAAGCTCTGCTCACATTCCTCCGTCTACTGAAACTTTGCATTTTTTGTGTTAGCTTAGTCAGTGGCGCTGCTATTCTGGAGAAATCCTGCACAAAATGCCTGTAATAGCTTGCTAAGCCCAAAAAGCTGTGAATCTCTGTAGAAGAAGTAGGCCTGAGCCATTTCTGCACAACTTCTTATCTTCTTAGGATCTACCATAATTCCATCTTTGGATACAACATGCCCCAGAAATGATACTGAGTCTAGCCAAAATTCACACTTTGAGAAATTAGCATAAAGCTGATGTTCTCGCAATGTCTGCAACACAGTCTTGAGATGATCCTCGTGTTCTCCTTGGCTACGAGAATATATCAGGATATCATCAATAAATACGATTACAAATCTATCCAGAAACGGCTTGAACACCCTATTCATTAAATCTATGAATGCAGCTGGAGCATTGCCAATCTTTGAAAAGTAGGCAACTCCTTGTAACTGATCAAACATGTCATCTATACGAGGCAAAGGATATTTATTGCGTATTGTTATCTTGTTCAACTACCTATAATCAATGCACATTCTTAGGGAGCCGTTTTTCTTCTTTACGAACAATATTGGTGCACCCCATGGAGGTATACTCGGTCTGATAAAACCCTTATCTAACAAATCATGCAGTTGTTGTTTTAGCTCCTTCAACTTTGCTGGTGCCATCCGATATGGCAGTATTGATATGGGATGTATGTTATATGGAAATTCAATACCAAAATCTATTTCTCGTATTGGAGGCAATTCTGGTAAATCCTCAGGAAATACATCAGAAAATTCTCTCACTATTGGTATATTTTCTATACTAACTGTTTCCTTTCTGGTGTCATTTACAATAGCTAAGAGACCCAAGCAACCTTTCTTCAGAAGTCGTTGAGCCTTCATAAAAGATACAACTTTGCGAGTCTCTGGAACCTGACCCCCTTTTAGAACAAAATTAGGTTTGTTTGTTATCTCAAACTTGACTATCTTTGCATGACAATCGACGATAACATAGCAAGAAGATAACCAATCCATTCCCATCAGCATGTCAAAGTCAATCATATCAAGTACAATAAGGTCAGCTAGAGTATCTCTACTCTCAACCCGAATCTAACAAGCACGATACATGTATTCAGCTAATAGAGACTCTCCAATAGGAGTAGCAACTAGAAAAGGGTCATTCAATAGCTCAGGTTGTGTACTAAACCTCAAAGCAAAGTACGAGGACACATAGGAGTGTATAGATCCCGTATCAATCAACGCAAGTGCATCAAATGAACAGACAGAAAGAATACATGTAACCACAACATTCGAGGCTTGAGCATCTTGTCTAGTAAATGCAAAAACTCTCGCCTGACCTCTACCAGCATTCCCTTATCCTTGATTCACAGCAGCATGATCTCCAACACCTCGACCTCTATTTCCTGTACATGTAGCACCTGAAGTATTATGAGTAGTCTGAGTAGGTGCAGCTGACTGAATAGAAGCTTGGTTGAAATTTCTCGGAGGCTGAGGGAAATCCCTCAAGTGATGTCCCAACTGGCCACGTCGAAAGCACTCTTCAGTTAGAATACGACACTGGCCCAAATGTGATCTACCATAGGTCTGGCAAACTGGAGTAGTGGCATATATCTGTCGAGAATTATGATGTCCAGATGTTGACGGTCCCCTAGTACCCTGTCTGTAATGTGGTATGTATGTGGTTTGGGAAGACAAATGTGTCCCTGTCTGAGAACCCTGTTGTTGTTGTCCCTGATTTCCTGCTCTTCGATTTTCACTAAAATTGCCACTGAAAGACCCTCATGTCTTAGCCTTCTTATGTAAATCACTAGGTGCACGCTCATCACGTCCCTTGTTTTTAATCTTTCTAGCAAGGTCGACTACATCATAGTAGGATAAAGTCTTTATCTGTGGGGCTACTGCAGTGTATAGACGACCAACCAATCCATCAATAAACCTCTGACTCGAGCTTCTTTGGTAGGCACTAAATAAGGAGCATATATAGCTAGCTTATAAAACTTAGTGTTATATGTTGATACATCCATATCTTGAGTCTGAACCAATCTCTAAAAGTCTCTAGCATATTTTTGTATCAGGTTGTCTGGAAGAAAATGATTCTTGAACAACTTAGTGAACTCATCCCATGTCAGTGGTGCTGCTCCTGCTGGCTTTCCTAGCAATACTGTTTTATACAATGTGTTGTCCATATCCTCTAGTTTGTATGATGCGAGCTCCACGACTCTCTCACTAGAACATCCTAGAGCACGTAATGCCTTGAGTGTCCCATCCAAGAAACTTTGAGGATCTGCTGAATTATCAAAACCTGTGAATTTTGGTGATTTCAATTTCAGGAACTCTTGTAAGGACACTTTCTTATTCCCGAAAGTCTGAGTCTGTGCAGGTGCTTGTGTCTGTAAAGTAGCCCGAGGAGCTGAACTTCCACTCTAAGTAGGCACCAATGCCTCTAACACATTCAATAACCTTGCCACTGTGTCTGCAGGTAAGGCAACAGTAGGTACAATAGTTGGCACTGGTGGCGGAGCATCCAGAACTCCCTGCCCTTGCACTTGATCTGGCTAGCAGCTTGGGGTTGACCTATGTTCCCAACTTCAGGTTGAGGATCAGTCTGTCTTCTAGTTTGATGCCCCAACTTGACCGCCACCCCTGGTAGTACCACGTCCAGCAGATGAGGATGTGTGTGTCCTAGCCATCTATAAAAGAAATATTCCAAAGTCAATCTCAAGTTATCTCAATGCACGATCAAAGAATGAAAGAAGAGAAAACATTCCTAGATGTTCAGTAGCCTCAAGATCATAAGTATTGGCGCCTACATACCCATGAACAAGACTCTACTAAACATTGCTCCATGACTCGGGACTTAAAGCCTAAGCTCTGATACCAACTTTGGCACGACCCAATTTAGGATCATGACTGACACTTAGGAGCAAGTGTCCCCAAGTAAGCCTCATCGATATTTTACAGAAAATCGCGCAGAATTTTCCCTATTTTTGGACTATCCAAAACTTTCTTGTCTCAAAATCAACAATCAACCATCCTAATATCAAACCAAACAATCGACAACTTATCAATTAACCAAAAAAAGTCTCCACCATTACTAATCAACCTACTAACAACTAAAAATACTAATTTATCTCTAACTTTGATAATAAAAGACGATACTCAACATAAGACTATAATAACAAAATAATACTCATGACACTAAAATGATAAATATGGAGCGACTCTAAGAGTTCAAAGAAAAGACCATAACAATAAATAAAATCTCCGGTCACGCGAACAAGTGCGAGGCTCACCAAGAACTATCAACTGGTGCGCTCTAATTAACGAAATCCTCGCCCGCGTCAACTGTTGTCTCTGTAAAAAAAAATTAGTGGGGGAATGAGTCGCTAGCTCAGTGAGTAATAGCACTTAGCCACAACCATTTTTATTGGGGACAAGTCAGAAACATGCTAGTATATTAAACAGAAAATATCATAAAATACCCTTTCAGAAACAATAAATATTTTTCAGTCTTATCATGTTTTTCTTGTAATATAATATGATTAACAATTCAGTAATAAGCTCGGTAACCACTGTATAATATCAATATTCATATTTGGAAAGTTTTAATGAACGGATCATGTAATCGGTATATCTGTGGACTTCTTCGCAAGAAGTCAAATATAACGGTAGTCCTCCTCGAGGGAAATCGGTAACTGTATGCTAGTTCTACCTTCCTACTAGCGATGGCTATAACTGTACTCTGTAATCGGTAAATACAAGGTGCACCAGGTCTAACGAACCCGTCGTTAGCTACGAGATCCTTCAAAGTCTACTCCCATTTATACTTATCTCTGTATCCGTATATACTCATAGGAAAATATTTTAAAACAATATGGGGCATTTCGGTTCTTAACAAATCATGTAATTTCATTTCGACAACAGTAAATTCAAGTAACGGTAAAACATATCTAGTGACAGCAAGAATATTTAAAACAACGATAATCATGTCAAATAACTATTTCCGTATCATATCGAGTAAAGACTTGTCCCACATGCAACTCAAATTAATTGGTAACATATTCATATTAAAAATTATGTGTAAATCATGTAAGTTATGAAGACACAAATTGCGGTAAGATTACTACTCACAATACTCGTGCCGAAATACCAAATACTTCACCTTGAGCAATTCGTAAAAATTCCTCCAATCAATCGGAAAGTAAGATTTCAAGTGTTGGCTTCAAAATAACGAAATGCTTTTAAAACCTAAAACCCTTCTCCAAAAATTATTTGCTGCGAGAGGAATACTATGCGGTATTGCTGATACCAAGTTGTTATTCATACATGTAAAAAAACCCTAGGCATTCACTTCTTGTTCAAATTGGGTCTCTTAGGTTTCCATAGCAGGCATGGAAGCCATATACGGAGTTGCCATAATTACCATCCTAATCCTAATTTAGATAAAACTCTGAAGTCGGCGTACTTCTCCTTTCCACTGTCCTTTTGTTTTTGTTCTCTTTTATTTTCCCTTTTCTGTTTTGTTTCATTTTGTGTCATTTCATTTTTTTTTTGTTTTTTTCATAGTTAGTTTCTTATACTTATTATTAATATAATTATTATTATTATCATTATGCTAATGACCAATACACCCTTATTTAAAAAAATATAGGGTATTACAACTTACTCTCGAGATATTTTCATCACATAACACTAACAGTTACTTGGTTAAATTACCAACATTAAGCATCTAAGTTGATTGAGCACAAGATGTAGTAGCATACTTCAACATATTTACAACATGTGCAGAAGGCACAAGTATATTGTCTGGTAAAACCATCTTCAAGCATTAGACATATAATACCCCAAAATATAAGTACAGTTTGTATCTTTTAAGTAACCCATCCTCAGCAATGAGCTGGAGCTAAATTCCAAGCTTAATAGTCATTTTTCTGCAGTCCAAAAACCACAACATAGGGAGATTTTGATGTACCCTGAAATAGCAGATATACACCAGTCAATTAAGGAAACTGGAGTTGAGATAAGCACAACGATAAAGTCAAAGCTCAGAGCAAGATCCTTACAGACATCCGCAGGTATCTTGAAAATAAGTTCCTTCAAAAGAGTGTTAGTTTATATTCAAAACAGTAGTGCATATATAGAGTTGGTGAAATTGAGAAAACATATATCTAAAACATTGCCATTTGCATAAGTCTGCCTAGAGATTGTCAAAGTAGCACAGTTGACATTTGTGGAGGTTAATTCTATACTTCTTGCAGGTACATGCAATAATAGAGACAAAATCTTAGTAGTTGATGAGCTGGTATTTGAGGAGACAGCGAGCAAAAGCAGCCTTGAATTCCTGTGTTCACTAAAACTAATGTTAGTACTTTAGCTCATACTGCATGCACATTCTTTACAATGGAAATTGAGAGGAAATATATCAAAATTTAATAGGTCTATACTCCAGATAAAAGTGCATATAAAGTTGCTATTCCTAGAAAATCAGATATATATCAACTTATCCAAAGGGTATACAATGAGAATAATTTCAGCAGTATGTACAAGTTCTATAGGAGAGCCAAAATTGGCCAAAAAGAATGTGGAGTGCTTGCTAGATGAACGATCTCTAGAAGTTATAAATTTCCACCTGCAGATCTTGGTTTCTAGAGACATTCTTCTTTTTCTTTTGTTCTATTTTTATCATTCTATTCGATCATATAAAGTTCATCAAAATTGCTCAAAAATTCATTTCAACATATTTTTCTCCTAAGTTATATCCAATGTGAGTGAAAAAAACTCTACCTAAGAGACTGAGTATTTTGTTTAAAAAACTGCAGAAACAATATATTACATACCCAGCTACGGATATAGGAATTAAAGGAGAAAACTTTGGCTATACATCTAGTACCATAAATGATGTTTACATGGTTCCAGTTAAGAAAGACCAACTGATTTACCCATATAAACTTAATGAGCAGCAGAAAGTAGTTGAAAGTACAAGTACTTATTAAATGAAATTACTAGGAACATGAGAGAAATGAAGAAGGAATTGTTATAAAAGATGTCACATACTATATGGCTGGGTATTTTGTAAGACTTACAAAGTATCACACTTAGGTGAAAATCCACAGAGCTTATTACGCCACACATACCAGCGGAGCGTAAATTCTGCTAAGCATAAGTACAGTAGCAGGAAGATATTGGAAGCAAATAGAAAGGAGCATGCAATGGAGTAGATGGATGTTGCAGTTAGAAGTTGTTAATTCTCTAAGTGGGAGAATTATTTACTTAGACTCCAAATGAATTAGGAAATTAGCAGGCCCGATAGAACTGCATAGTCCAGACAATGAAGGGCATCTATGCTTGTGGTAAAACAGAACTGCAGAAGAATATATGGGAATCTTCTTTGGTAAATTGCGCAAAAAAATTGTAGAAGAGGATAAACTTTTTAAAGAGTTCCTAAATGCTTGAATTATTAGGCTAATGAAAGCGCATAAGAATGATAGTTGATTTAGCCTGTCTACTGATAATTTCCTCTTTCTGCATTTTAAAAGGCAGCATGGAAGAATTTGTGTGATTTTAGGAACCTGTTGCAGTAGTTCTTTTACCAAATTTCAGAATATGAAGCGTAGAACATGAGTGTACTAAGAGTAAATGTGCACTCTTATCTTAGTTGTCATCCTATTTGTCCAAATCAATATTGGCATTCACATGTGATCGCAAAGGGAAAAAGACAAAGCACATTATTGAAATGACACTATCTCATCAATCATAATGGCACTACAGAGAGGCATTTCAAATACTAATGTTTTATAAATCTCAGAATTCATAGTAAGATGAAACGTCAAATGTAAGTAGATGACCAATTATTGTTTCAAAAAGGATCATATCGCCTTATTACGAAGAGTATCTACTTCAAACTTGATATGACTTATCTCAACACAATTCCAGCTTCATCAGTGAACATCTTATCATGCCAATCAAAGTTCATTAAGCTGGTGCATACTCCAACTCCTTGTGAAAAAGAGTATACACCTTCCAATCATTATAGATGAACACCTTAAATCCTCCAACATTGGCGAGTGCTTCACAAGTTCAGAAATAGCAACAACACCCTTATCTCCTCTCATGTTATTGTTGAGTTTCTTTTTAATATGGAAAGGTATTAAAAAGAGGATGAATGGGAAATGGAGGGAAATTTTGAGTAAAATTTTAAGTTTCCCTCTCTTTTTAATGAGATTGTCCCTCATTGGTAGAGGAAAAGGAGTTTGGTGGGTTTATATACAAATGCACTTCATGTA